AGCAGAGCTGCTTACAGTTGGATTTGTTCTCAGTTCAGCAGTTGTCATTGTTTGGTCCCTCCTTCCTGCTTTGCAAGTTTGCCACCGTCCATGGTCTCAGCCAAGGAGCACACTGTGGTATTTGTGGGATCCCTCTAAAGCCCTAATTCTGTCCGTGCCAGAGGGGGCAGCTATGACTCTTAGTTCTTTTCCCAGAGGGGTGTTCTTCCTTAGGGATGAAAGGGTGGGGGGTTTCCAACAGTTCAGCAAACCAAAAATGCCTGAAGGAAAATGTTTTTGTGGATATGTATTATATACTCAAGAGGAGAAAGAGGTGCAGATTTTGTTTGGGTTTTTTTTTTTTCCTGTTGTTCTTTAACATCTTCACATTCATGCTGAGATTATTTCTGAAGTCTTACTCTGTATTTGAATCATCGCTACTGATGGGTCAGCAAGCATGCAGACCTGGCCCTGTTTCCACAGCAGGGCTCACTGCCACCAACAGCTGTACAGGTCACAAGGGTGTCAGCTTTAATGCATCTGCCCTGAACAACCCTCCCCCATCTTGCCCCACGCTACAATGGGCCAAAAGGATGTGGGAGCTTCAGAAAACAGACCCTGAAAGTGCTGCCCAGTCTTAAATGCCATGTTCCCTGTTGCTTCCAGCAAAGCATGGCATTTGAGAACTCAGGAGATTCTACCCCTGTGAGAAACCAGTGACAGGAGGTCCAGTCACACAACATTTCTGCTCGGTCCATTAGGTAAATCAAACGTAGCAGCAGAGGTAAGAATGATAGGAGAAGGAAAAAGTGAAGGGAGAGCTAAGGAAGAAGAATAAAGAAGTGGAAAATGATGTGTGAGAAAAAGGAAAAGAGAGAAATGTAATGAAAGCATTCATTATTATTCAGAATTAATACTTTACACTTTGATGGAATTTTCTCTCCAGGATCTCGAAGCACTGAGCTGGTGCTAATTAATTCAGCTGTGCAATCCCCCTGTGAACTGGGAACGACTGTAGTTCCCATTTTACAGAAGACTGGAATTGAGGCATAGCGGGAAAACTGGACTTGTCAAAGGTTCTCTGGAGCCACGAGAAGAACTGGAGAGTCTGAGGTCCCAGATACCTGCTCTCATATCCTCAATGCTGTTCCCTCTTTGGACAGAAATTGCACGGGGAATAAGAAAAAATAAAAGACAGGGATAGAAATGGGATGGAGAGAGGGTATGAGAAAGTAATGGGAGAAAGGGAAGAGGCAGCAGAATGGAGGAGAGAGATGTGAGTCATAGACTTCATTGCATTGTGCACAGCGATTTCTTCCTCCGATTATTTTTCTTTTTTTTTTCTCCTGTAAAACTTTTTAAAGGAAAATTAAAAAAAAAAATGCACTTATAACAAAGCAGATGTTGGCCTGTTGGGGAAGGGGTCCTTCCAAGGCTTGGCTGTTCCCTCAGGTTCTGGATTTGTGCTGTGCTTTATTGAACACATAATTTTGTTTTCAGTGAGCACAACAAGACTTGCACAGTACAGACAGCATGTTCCTTATCTACAGGATGAGACGAGGCTGTTTTAATAACTACCATGATGAAGATGGAGATGAACTTATATACAAGAGGAATTGCCTTCACATTACACACATTATCTTCCTACAAAGCAGCAATTGTTTTTGCAAATAACATAATATTAAATAATTGGTAGAATTTTTGCGTTTCCTGCATAGTCCAGTCTAATGGAATCTATATGAATATTGATGGTTTTCTTCTGCGTAATATCACCACATAAATCCCCATGTCAGCTACTAGACTTTAGCTATAATACTGCTTTACAATGCATCCACTGACTGTAAATCAAAACAACCAACACAAGAAACTCTTTGGCAAATGTAATTCAGTACATTCGCATGGGGTTCTACAGATGGTGGTGGAAGAGGATTAGACTGCCCAGCCCTTTGCAGAATTCTGCTTTCCTTTTAATTTTCCTGGTCAAACTACATGCTGTACTTAGGAACTTTCCAGGCCAATCCAGTGCCTGGTGAAAATCCTCTTTATCAGTGGAGCTACACCAACAGTGGATTTGGCCCACCGAGGGTGAAATCAAGCCAGCCATGAGTGAGCCAACCAAATCCTGCTTTCATACCCGAGCTGGTGTCTCAAGTTTAGTGAAACACCACTATAAAAATAAGTGTTTCTGAGCTGACAGATTCTCTTGAGGGAGTCCCTGGACTGCAGGTCGCCAAGTGTAAGGTGTGACAGTCTGCTTTTCTCTAGTCTCCTCAGGAGGTTCTCTTTGCTGGTCCTGGGATTTACAGCCTCTGCCCCAACCACCTGCTGAGTGAAACTGGGGGGTGCACAAGCACAGCAAAGGCTGTACTGAGAGACTAAAAGGGAAACTTTACTAACAGGGTCCAGCATCTATCTGGTGTCTGTGGAGGAAAACAGAAGGAGTGGTGAAAGTAAATTTTTAGAAATTACTCAGAATTTTCTTCTCGTATAGAGTAAGATGAGATAACTGGCCAAATTCTGGTCTCGGTGACAGCGTAACAACTCTGCTATTTGCAGCAGGTTACTCAGAGGTAAGACGTGCAGAATAACACTTTTAATAGATCACAGGGGTAACCTCTTTGTTTTTATTCTGTACAGGAACAGATTTTAGCTCTATATCTTCAATGTAAACATCCCCCCCACCCTCCCCCCCAAATACCCTTCTCATTTGGGCATCCCGTTAAAGAAGACACAGACCTATAATCAGCTAGAGCCATGCAAGGGCTAAAAGTGTTAGGTGAAAGGGGGCTTTGGGATCAACACAGCTGTTTACTGATGATGGATTTCATACACACAAGTTAAACTTGGAGACAGAATACCAAGTCCACAACCACATCTCCTCTGAGGCTGGGAACTTTGGATTTCATAACATAATGTTGGCTGTACAGATTGCTCTGCTGTTCACTTTTGTGCCCTTCGGGGGGGTTGATTCTCAATCCTGTCTTTGTCCATGGATAGCAGCCCACGAGTTTTGTCTGAAACCTCTCTAAAACAACAAGGATCTACTTTGGCAGACTTGATGCCCTGGGGACAGGCTATAGCTGCCTTCATGTTTTGAGTATTTTTTAGGACGTGTCAGTGCAAGGAACAGTTTATGAATTTGCTGACGATACAGGAGTAATAAGCATTTCTATTGACAGTTAGGCTTTTGCAGAACAGTGTTTGCCAGTCACTTGGGAACCAAAAAGAGCAGAGAATTCCTAGAGAATCATCAGGTGAGTATTTGGGGTAAGGGGTAGATATTAGGGTGCACAATATAGGATTGAAGATGAAAAGATGGGGCTGTATGTTGGGACTGGCTGGTAGGATGCAGGCGTATAGAATTGAATGGAGGCCTATAAATTAGTAGATATATGAACAGATGGACTGGGAATCAAAGGGGGCCCATATAGCAAGGCCGTAGTGGTAGGAAATTAGGTGTTGGTCACAGATAATGAGGCTCTTGCCACCAGATGTGGGGAACTGGAGAATGGGTGTTGGGCATATCTAAAATTGTGGAAGTTGGGATGTGGGTGAACTGAAGTCATCACAGGTACAGGGGTTAAGGTAAAAGGAGCGGCATCTAAGGGCTAGGGAACCAAGCAATAATCCCAGCCAATCCTGAATTTGTCCATCTCAGTCCCAGCTGTCCAGAGGGCAATCAGATGGGCCCACGTGAAGCCCCACACTTTCCACCACACAGCGCAGTTAGAGCGCAGCTGGGCTTGTTTTCTTTGTTTGCCAACCAGTGACATGGAAAACGTTTGTTGACTCAAGAGTGCTTTTTTAGTCGACTGATGTGTTTGGTAACTTTGTCAGATGTGACTTGTCCACACTGCTCCCCAGAGACAGGATTTGGGAAAGGGGGAGGAGGAGGAGGTGACTGGGGTGGAGCTGGCATCCAATCCTCTCCAATACCACCATCCCATTGTAGTGCAAAACAGAAAGGAAACAAAACCCTAGAGTGAAAGAGGAGCATCAAACGTCAGAGGAACTCTGTCTGCCATTCAGGTGGCGGGGAGAGATGGGACTTGGAGTTCTATTTTTGTAGGGTTTTTAATTGTTATTTTGGTTTTTTTGTTGTTTTTGTTTGCTTGGGTTTTTTTAAAAATTGGGGATTTGTTCTTTTTTTTTTCCTTTTTACAGACCTTCATGACAAAGCATAAAAACACAGTTATATTTATATATCTATTTATATATTTCTTCATTTCGTCGGTTGGTTTGTAAATGTTGCTCCATCCTCCTGTCTGAGCTGATTGTGTGTCACAGAAATCGTGGGTGTATGTGTGAGGTTCCTCCCAACTCTGGCCTGCAAAGTCACCACGCGTAGGGTGCAGCCAACTACGGGGGAAGCCACGCTGGAGAGCGGGGATGAGGTGCACAGAGAACCCCTCGTGGGGTGCAGATAGTTACTTGGTCCTTTTCTTCGTTGCCAGATGGGCCAGGTCTCTGTATGGCCATCTCTGCTCTAGCCAGACTGTTCCCTCTGTCCTGGGAAACAGGGTGAGCGTCACAGGTGTTACACATGTTGAAGAGTCCACCACAGAAGAGCTTCTCTTTGGGGAACAGTGTCTCATGAGCAGCGTTCTCCCCTGCTTCCCCCAGCCCGTACCGCTCCCAGAAGGGGGTCCTGTAAGGCAACGGTCACCAGCTGCATCGCTTCCCAGCCCCCCTCAAGTCCTGGAAGCCAAGGGGGCTTGGCGTGGCTGAGCTGTGGCCGGGAGCGGGGGAGGGCTCCCGCAGGAGAAGCCACTTGGCCGCAGGCTCTTCTGGTGTAGGGGGAGCAGTCGGGGCGGAGGGCAGGGGAGTGCCGAAGGGGGATCTCAGTCTTTAGTGGTGAGCGCTTGGTCCGGCGCCTTCGCGGTGAGGAGGAAGGAACTAGACTGTGGGGAGGAGCGGAGAAGGTCTCTTCACCCTTCCCAGGGGTGGAGGGGGGTGATCAGACAGGTACAATGTGGAGGCCTAAGCTGTCGCCCTGCAGTTTCATGTGGTTTCCATGGTAACTAGTGGCGGTCATAGGCAGCGGCAGCAGTGGGAGGTGCGGAGCCCCGGGATGTGGCACTATAATAATAAGGGGAACCTGAAAGTTAACACAGGAGAAGAATGGACTGGTTGAAAGGACAAACAGTAAAAAAAAAAAAAAAAAAAAAAAAAAAACAACTGAAAAGGAAAGGAAGAAAGAAAAGGAACCAAAAGAACAAACTGGGGACTCAGCTCTTTATGGGATTAGGGAAAGCCAGCCAAGAGCCACCACTAGGTGCTACTATGGCCTCTGGCTCTGAAGCCCTGCATGGGAAGGAGATCCTTTTGCTCCTCCGGAACATCAGTAAGTTGCAGAGAGGGAAGCCTGTGAGCACTGCACTGCAAATCGCCACACCTGATCTGTGCCAAGGAAAGCGCCAGGGCCAGACGTTCTGAGCTTACCTGACAAAGTATAGCAGCTCACTTACAAAACCAGGAGGGGAGAAATGAAGCAAAATTACAGTGTTTTATTGCTTGGGATTTTGGTCACACTTGGCATGAAGGCTCTCTAGATGGTTATTGAATGTGTGTTAAATAGTGATTGATTATTAAGATCACGTTTACTGAGGTTTAACAACACTGGAATAAAATGTGCATCTATTATCCAGTTGTTAAACCTCAGTAAATACGTAGGTAATAATCACAGCTGATTTATTTTACATATAATAAATCTCTTCCTATTCCCTTGCAAAGAAATGTTGTGTTAGAAGATAGGGTCTTATGGGAGGTTTTTTCCCCTCTGGAAAAAAAAGTTACTCTTTCTGGGCATATTAGCGTCACTGGAAATGGATATATCCCTGCAAGAAAACTCTACTGGCTATTATAAACCTGGCGATGCAGCCTCTCACTCTGCACACTGTTCCACCAGGTCCAATAGGAAGAACTTCTACTGGGTTTCCAAGTCCTCAGGAACTGACTGTGGGTTTAGGTTGGGAGAAGAATGAAACGTCATCTGGATTTTTAATCAGACCTTGAATGGATGCTGACTGCAGCCTGAGAGAGTAGCAGAACCTGACTTTAACTTCTGATCTCATCTGGAATAAACTGTGGATGCAGGCCACGGAGAAGACAGAGCTGAACTGGAATTCTGAATGCTCTCATGCGAGAGGAATCGGCTTCAGAACAGATACAAAACACACGTGAGGTATATACGCATCTAGACACTGGACTGGAGAGTAAGGAAAAAGGCCTCTGACCTGGCTGAATACCCAAATACTTGAAAGCCCTCTTCAGAAGCAAACAAACAAAACCAAAAAAAGAAAAAAAAAGAAAGAAAACAAAACAAGGAGACAAACAGAAGGAGCGCGAGGCTGGGGGTGTGCTGTGGGAAAGAGGTACTCACTTAGTAATGCAGGGTTGCTGACCCGCCAGGCCTCGTTGTAGGTTGTGTACTGAGGGTGGCTGTAGGGGTTCCCTGAGAACTCGCTCCCTGGAAGAAAGCAAGGAAGGTGTGAAATGTTAATGCCGTTAAGAATGTAGATTTATGTCTGCTGTTCCATCGAGCCAGTGCTCATGTTGAATCCGTACGCCAGCAGGAGAACTACCTTCCTTGCCCAGCTGGGGCTGTGCCCTTCAGGGCACTGTAGTGTTTGTTCAGCGCAATGCTGCTTACCCATACAACCAAGAATCATAAGACTGACCTCTTCAGAATCAAGAAATTAGTTTAAAATATAGTCAATATTACAAATAAGTAATTAAACTGGTTTATTTTTTGTTGCCTTCTGACCTCTGATTCTCAGACTGCAGTAGAATTGCATACGCAAGCTTTTTCTGCAATTAACTACCCGCTTCCTTTTAAATAAGGTTCTCCAGTAATGACAGGTCAGCAGGCATAGAAGTGCGATGGGACAAGCTCACCATAAACTCACTGGAACCAGAAGTGCTGTTGATGGCAATATGAAGTGCTAGGTTTTGTTTGTAGTGTACTGATGGTGGTGATGGATTTGTGGAGAAGAGTACTGCTTGTTATTGGAAATGTCCTGCAAGTAGGATGGGCTTAAATATAAAACAATATGGAAAACGTATGAATCGCTCTTCGTTTCTTACTCTGTATGACGGTGTTAGTCAGGAAATTGATTCATATATGATGAACCCTACCTTGATACTTAGAGAGTTACAGAGAAAACTTGCTGAGTTCCATAGTTCCAGAAAATAATTTTCTAATGATTAACTGCTTTAGGTGCTCTTCTGAATCTGAAAGACAAACTGGGCTACAGCTCCCGTTGTCACATTCAGTAAAATGGGCCCAAACCAAAATACTTTGGTATTTTGTGATCTAATAAACCTCTGACCCAAGATTTGAATGCTGTAGAGCCCTCTCAAATACTCAGTTTTATTGTGCTTAAGCAGATGAGTCTTGTTTCCTAGAAGGCTGGGCAGGGCTAAGGGTATATATTTGGTAACTGAGGAGGTATGGTGCTGCGTTCAAAATAAATAGATCTCCCAAAATTTAAAAATATATGATTCTGTTAAGTAAAAACATGCCATTATCTGCTCATAGCTTCAATTTAATGCAGTACCAAGAGGCTGGGGACAATTAGTGCCACCTGAGAGGAATTATGCACTTAAAAGACAGTGGAAGAACTGCATGACTATTAGCTGCTGCTCTGCCCTGAGGTGGGGCTGGAGTTGTTACAGCAGCAGTGTTTGGAAAGCACCTGGGGCTCTTGCTGGATACCATGGAATGGGGAAAGAAGGCAATGCAAGGCGCACTTGGATGCCTGTGATACAATTACCAAAGAAAAGTCAATTAATTATAATGTAATCTCTGCAAATCTCTCCTCACTGGAGAGTTAAAGCCAAAACCACAGATTCTCAGGTGGTGGAAATAAAGTCAGGGGATTTGTACTGGTTTAAACTTGAGGAGAATCTGCCGAGCCAGGTTTTTTTAAAGACGCTCAGGGTAATAACAAAAGTAGTCAGTATGAAAACGTGTATGTATGAAAAACGGTCACTATCCAAAGGTATTTTAGTCACAGTAGGTTTTAGTTTCAGCATAAACCTCATTTTGTGTGACAGACCTTGCTAAGAACTGTTTTAATGATGATAACTCAGCATGTTTCCATATCTAGAAACATTCTGCTCTGCAAATCCTGACAGCTAACTGGGAAGGAATAGATGAAACCTGCTAAGGTGACCAAGATGCTGGGGGATGGGACACAAAGGCAAAAAGGAATGCATAGTCCAGATTTATCTCTATTGAAGTGACTTATCTGTGGGACATACTGGAATGAGTTTGCCCCCCAAAGAAGGAAAGTAACTACCCAGATGAGAATTTCTGCTTTGAAATGCTTCCTATAAACATCACTTCGCTGCTTGGAGAGAAGTAGTTCAGAGATTTAAGGCTTCTCTCTCACCCGCTTCTGAGTTGTCACCCTAAAGCCTTTATAGTGTTCTTAGAGCACGGGTTAAGTAGAGGAGAAAGAGCCCCAGCGACGGAGAGCTGGGGAGGAGGGAGGGCAGCCACTGGAAACTGTGTTTATTGACGAGGAGTGAAAGCATGCATGCAGCAGGATAATGAGCTTTTGAGCTCAACTGTGACCAAGAGGAACTGAGCTATCGCCTTCCCCGATCACTAATGAAACAAGTGTAATTTCCTCATCAACATTGGATTCTGTTTAACGACTCCCTGCTGTTGCCATCGCCAGCCCTCTCAGGCTCTGCGTTGCTCTGTGTAAACCGCAGTTCCCGTCAGTGGATGCTCCCTTCACCGCAACAGTTTGCAGAAACTTGATGGCCTTTCTGGGAAAGGGGAAGAATTGAGACGGGGATCAAAGGTGCTCTGTTACCTGTTCAGGAAACACCCCTCAGGTGCACAGGTTAAGTGTAGCATAATACCCGAGTCATCCTTCTTTGAGTGACTAACCCCAGCTTTTTCAAGTGTGTGCCCAGAGACTACTGGCTTTCATCCACATCTACAGCCTGGGACCTGAAGGTACAGGCAAGGGAAAACGCAGCATATATATCTTGCCACATCACTCACATAACCCTCGGAGATACCTGCACGCATGACCGACCATGTTACATGGATGTTCTGCTAGTGGAGACAAGCTCTTCTCTAGGCTGTACAAGTAGAAGTCTAGTGAAAGGTTGTCACGAATAGAGCAGAGCAGCTTTGGTTATAACTGGTCAAACAATCTTCTCAGAAACAGCTTTCCACTGGAAAGTGCTGTTTCATCGAAATGGAAATGTTTTGCATGAGCTTGTCAGCTTCAATGGAGTTTTGGCAAGGAAAGTTCCAAAATGATTGCAAATTGAAACAAAATATTATGTTTCAACTTTCTTGTTTTGTTTCATTTTGCCTTTCTCATCTCATTTAATTTCCTTTCAACTCTTTTATTATTTTAATATGTCTTGACATCTAGAACATGTTGATGTTATTGAAATGTTTCATCCTGATGTTTGCAAATTGAACTATTTCAAGACTCTGACTCCTCATCCCAGTGCAAGATGAAAACAAATGTCAAAAAATCAGGGTTTTGCATCGGTTGGAAATCCTGCTTTCTGACCAGATCTATTTTTAGCTCTGCACCTTATTTAGAGAAGACAGAACCTCTTTCTCGTATTCACTCACATGTGGACAGTAAGGTTTGTTTGCATGTCAGTATTCTTCAAAAAGATACTCCCTGAGTGGTTACCTTGCTGTCTCCTTGTTTCCAGTGTGGTTAAAGCACTGACCCCTGATCTTTCTTGTCCTGGGGGCATGTAACAAACCATTGCCAACATCGTATTTGTTTTCTCTGTTCAACCTGGACCCTTACAGAGGTTGCAAGAAAGCACAGAGGATCGATCTCGTGAGGCCTATATTCTGCACAATCTGTGCTCTGGGAACCTGTACTAACAGTATTTCTAGGTACCTGTATTTAAATCTTGGCACGTTTAGTCTTCTAATACAGAAACCATGAGGCATGAAGTGAGCCTAGCAGGTGGCAGGTTCAGAACAAATAAGGGAGGTAGTTTTCGCACAATATGTAGTTAAGCTACAAAATTTCTTGCCATAGGTTGCTACAGATGTTAAAGGCTTATATGGGTTCAAGAGACACTATTTAAGTTTGTGGAGGGGAAACCTATCGAGGGTGTTTAATGTTAAATAGAAAGATGCTAAGTCTGGTTTAGGAAGTCTTTGACTGCAACTTCTTGAAGGCAGGGAGATCTTTCGAGAAAGTACTGATACGTGCTTGCTCTACTCTCATACCCTTCCCCAGGCATTCACTTCTGGCCCCTGACAGAGAGTAGTGGCTGCAGAGAGCCGCAGTGTGACCCATTAAAGCCAAGCCTTATGTTCCTTCCCAGGAAGCCTCTTTATCTCCAGCTTGTTGGCTTCAGTCACATTAGAAAGCAGGGATGCAAGGGCTGCCAGGCTGGGTCTGACCAGTGGGGTATGACTGAAACAGCCAGAACCTGATGCTCTGTGGGAAAAGGCAGTAACTACAGCAGGATGCCCAAGTAGGCCACCAGAAAAAACTTCCTCTAATTGAATGTTGAGATCAGATTTAATGTAAAGGTACCTATTTGACTTGAATAATCTTTTTTTCTTTGAAGTGTAACTCAGCTTTTTTTTTTTTTTTTATCATCCTGTTCCTTTTCTTTTTGAGGGTAGTTGTGTGGTTTTGGGGACACTGCTGTCACATGGGTAAGTATCCTCCACATCAAGGAGCTGAAATACTGTGTTCTTGGATAAGTGACCCCTGTGATTAGTGGTCTTAAAATTTTTTATCCCAGGTTAGATGTCAGTATCATCCTTGTGATGGGGACATTAAACTTACATAGTGGTCACTGAACAATTGAGAAGCTGACAACAGTTAAGTTGAGAAGAGACTGGTTTTTAGAAGCACCTATTCAAAGAGGCAGCTATTTTGGTGTTATTAATCATTTCTATATGCCATGACCTTCTATAAGTTTTGACATATAAGTTGTCAACACTTCAGTGTTGACAACTGAGTCTACCTATTGTTAGAGTGGCAGGGATTAATTGATTTATATTGTCTTAGTGCTTCTCTGATTCTGAAGCCAAACCATCTCCCTGAAAAATTTAGCGTAGAAGGAGATGCCCTAAAATTTGCCAATTCTGCACCATCCCAGAAGTTCAGTAAGATGGTCAGCTATACCAAGGGAATAAAGTGGGGGTGAGGGGGCCAATCCACTGTCTCTTCCTGATCTGGAGGTCAGTCACATCATCATCACAGCATAGCCCAAGATTTTGTTGTGCCTTAGGATTGTAAGCAGTAGGGAGCTTGTTAGCTCGGGAACGTGACCACAGGTATTTTCCGATACTTCACGGTATATAAGCAGCAATTTGTCATTTAAACATGTTAAGACTTCGACCTGCAAACATTTCCTATCAGTGATATTTTCACTGTCCTTGCTGCAGTGTTTGTTTAGCTAGCTATTCTGAGATCTGGATGAGGGTTAAGTTAGGCTTTTAATTCATAAGCCCTGGCAAATCATATCGTAGTGATTTAAGAGTTTTCTGTCCTCAGTGTTCTGCTGCTTCAGTTCTGGAGTCATCCCTCCAGCAGCAGAGGTTGCAGAGAGGACTCTGTACCTGCTTATTAGCTGTCACAACTCACAACCCAGGTCAGTAACATAAACAGAAATCAGTGGCAGGTGAAGTTCTGAGCTACCGTGGTTGAGAAATGGAAATCATGCCTCTTCATTTATCTGCTGAGGATAACTGTCATCAGAGGAGTGGGGAATAGAGCCTGGGGAAATAAACTCTTCAATTGCCCTAGTCCTCTCTTCTTTCTAAACACTGGGAGAATCCGTTTGCCAAGAGAAGGTATTTCTCCAAAGGTGTTGGGTAGCAAAGAAACAGTTTGCCTTTGGATGTAGGATTAGGTAGACAGTTTCTTGGACTAGAGGCAGTATCTTAACAAACAGGAGGTGGGTAAGTAGTTGGTTGTTCCAAGTGAATAGTTAGTTTCTCCTGAAATGCTGTTAGTCATTTCTGAGTTCTTAGCCAGTTAAGGCTACAAACAGTAGGTCTCCAAAAACTTCAGGTATTAAATTGCCATTGATGATTTTCAGTTTGATGCCCTGAGTTTAGATAGAAGGTAAGTTGTTACCTTAAGTTAGTGGATAGCTGAATATCTTGAGCCACAAGCAGTACATAATAATCTGCACGGGTCATTGGAAAATAATTACATCAGTTAATGAATACTAAGGTTAATTAATTACCCATTAATTGCCACAGGTTATAGATAGCTAGTTGTCCATAGCAGCAGTGAATGAGTTACTAGGGGGAAAGAGATGCTACAGGAATGGTTGTTAGCTACATTGGTTATAGGCACCTGATGATTTCTTTATGTAAAGAATAGGCCTTAATAGCAGCAAAGCAACACCAAAGCCAACTGTGAAAGCTCTTATAATACTGTTCAAACATTAGTGAAGTCTGGAGGCTGACTTACCAGGAACCATTCCTGCAAGAGTTGAGGTTGGGTAGCTGCCTTGTCCAGTTGGGGGAACATGGGGTGGGTAGCCAGGCAAGGTGGTGCTTGCCATATCACGACCTGGAAAGGGAAAGGATCAGGGCAGGTGATCAACAGGGATAAGATCTTTCAATATTGATTTGGTATCACCTTCTGTCCCACTGTCACATGACTAGCAGCTTGATAGGCAAGTGCTGTGCAGCCTTCTCTTACATAAGTGCTGTCCATCCACTGAAAATTTTTGGGGAATATTGTGGCACTTTTGATCTCACACTGTAAGGATGGATGTTAGAACTTAGCTCTGTGAGGCTCAAAAGAATTTGGTTTGTAGATTTTGGATCTATTTTAGCTAAATCAAAATGGCCGTAAGCTGCACAGAGAATAGCAGCATAGTCATTGCCAGAGTAGCTGAGGTCCTGTCTATATGCAGTGGATGCAATTCCAAATCTGTGGTGATGTTGCTTTAGGGCATGATCAATGTGCAAGGCATTGGAAAGTGATCCAAGAGGTTTCTGTTTCTGTCTCTCTTCCCACCTGCCATTCACCTGCTCATGATTTTAGGCAAGTCACTTCACCTCTCTGTGCTTCTTTTTATGCTGCAAACTCTTTGGTGCAAGGGCACACTTTTAGTAAATTTGCACAGTGCTTAGCATGAGATCAATACTGGTTGGACTCCTTCCAGGTGCTGGTGTAATATATATAAGAATAGGATCATGTAATTTGAGTCCTACTTCATTTTTATTACAGGTACAAGTTTTTGTTAGTAATACTTAAAGTCGTGATATCATTTCTCCACCAAAGAAGTAGAGAGGGGTGTGGACTGGGTGGATGATGGTAGTTTATTTTTCATCTCTTAGGAAGTGCAGCTGGAGGCTTCTAGGTTGATGCCAGAGGCATTTCCTCATTTGGACTGGTTAGCCTGAAAATGGGCCAGCCAGAAGGGCATTTTGCTGTTAGTGCTTATTGGATTTAAATGAACTAAAATCATCTCAGAAGCTGCTGGGAGTTTCAAGCCAAAACAAAAACAAAAAATAAACTCAAAAAAAAAGACTCAATAAATTAAGATAATCTTTCTGCCACAGCTGCTGGGAGATTTACAGCTCAACCTCCAACGCTGCCTACTGAGATGTCAGCCTGTTCCAGCATCCACAGCCTTTCACATTCCCTAGGTGCAGTGTAGCTCACCAAGAACTTCGTGCCATTTTTTGTTCCTTTGTTAAACTTTGTTTCTCCTGTCTGTTCTAACTGGAGGGGTGGAGTCTGATTGACCTCCAGAAGTGACAGGTTAAGTATGGCCCATCAACACCACTGGAGTCACTGGAACTGTGCTGGGGGATGCCAGTGAAAGAACAGTAAGAGTTGGTTTAGCTCCACGAGTGGCAGAATGATAACTGATAAAGCAGGTTCTGAAACAAGCATGAACCTCGGCTGAGGAATCAGAAATAAATAACGGTTACACAGCAAAGCAAAAACTAATCAACATGGGAGCATTAACCTGAAGGGAGGAAGTTTCTCTGGGATGAGGTAGGCTAAACCAGTGTCACTGCTTTCATAGGTCTTGACTAAAGATTATTTAGGTGATTTGCTCAAGAAAAAAAGAAATGCAAGTCCATTCTTCCTCCCTGAAGAGGTTCCTGATTAGCGGCTGGTGTTCCTAGCTCACCTCCGCTTAGACAATGGCACAGAAACACCAGAGAACAGCTGAGCCATTTTCCAGCCACTCCCTAATATTGATAAAGATAAATATATAATACCCCAGGGATTTATATTCTCCATTCTTCTTCTCTTTTATCACTATCATTCCTTTAGTGATTTGTAGCTGTGTGTTAAGCTGCATGATTAACACCTACTAGATGTAGTTTTTTTTCCCCCTCACATTCTTTTAAGGCAATAAAGTTTTATGCTTAAAATTCATGTCCTTTTGGTTTCATATATTGACTAGACTGAGAAATAACAACAGGTGATGAGTGAGAAAACAGTGTCCCTGAAAAGTTAGAGAGAACATTATGTAGCAGCAGGCAAAATTAATTCATTTTGACACTTCTGTTCAAGTGGGAGTGCATACACACTCACTCTGCTACTTGATCTATGCACATACACCCCTGTGTTTTTATTCAGACAGAGGCTGATGTTCAATACTCAGGTGTGGAAAATTCATTGGGAAGTGATCATCTGTCAAAATCCCAATCTTGAAAAAGAGGATAACAAACAAGTACAGTATCAGCCATGTGACTAAGAGTCCCATAGAGAGACTCTTAAAATGCTGTTAGATACAAGCAGGCCCCTTACATCATCTCCTCTCATGAACAACAGGTAGACAAGATTATTAAATTCTTGTACTCCAGGTCTACAGCAAAGCTAGCACCTATCCTGCTCACACCATGCTTCCAACTCTAGCCATTCTCCCTTCTCCAAAAGCCTTCTGAGCGAAGAACAGCACCTTCATCACTGTGACATCATTTGAACTTTTAAACACTTTCTCCCACATCCAGTTCTCTGTAAGGGTCCTAAGGCAGATAGATACCTCTTCCGAAACACAGTGCCTTCTAGGCTAGAGGGTGGTCATATATGACTGCATCTGCAGGGAACTGGAGAGAGTCTGTCAGAAGACTCCTTGGCTTAGGAAGGGCCCAGAGCTCAGAGGCTCTTACTGGCTGCAGTGAGATTGGACCAAGAGAGTGTTACAAATACAAAGTCTTCTCTGCTGTTACTCACTTTCCTACAGAGAGGTTTAGAAATGCAAATCTCACCTGACAAAACAAAGGGAGGATGTTAGGTCAAAAGAGAAAAATAATATAGCAACATGAAGGTGGCAGAGGTAAGGTGTGTTTCCTGAGCATTAGGAACTGTGGTCTGCACTCAGACTTTGTTCTGAAAAAGCCCAGATTACATTCTTTGACAGTGGAGTTACAACAGCCTCAGTGGTCACCAAATGACGCCTACTATTTCATCCAAGCCACACGAGTTCCTGCAGTAGTCAGCTTGCACAGGAGTTTCCCTGAGTACCTACCTGAAACTTCCCTTTCCTCCCCTCCAGCCTGCTGCTCCTCAGTGCTGTCATCTTCTGCAACCTATTTCTTCACTTCTGTCCTTCCCTTAAAGGCCACCTACCTCAGGCCTCTATTCCTTTGGCTGTAAGACATTGTAGTGTCTCACCCACCCTTCCTGGTCTGGACATTCAGATGTGATGCCCTGATCCTTAACTACTTGGTCTGCTGCGTGAAGGCACCAGCTCACGCTGACGCTCCCAAACCAGGTGACTCAAATACTGCTCACAACACAGCTATAGCAGTGCTCACCAAACGCCCATGTATGTATCTAGCTTATTAGCTTGTACAGCCCATGCTGAATGCCCCTGCTAACCGTCCTAGAGCTGGCTAGGTTATTCAGGCTGCAGTCATCTACCCTGGGCTAGCACGCAGTACCCTTGCTGGGCCTGCAGCACTCGGGGATATTACGGCTATTGGAGCAACACAGGATTTTGCTGTATGAGAGTTTCTGTACTGAGCCCCAAACCCATCCATCTGGGACACCCAGTCAGTTCTAGATAGTTACAGCTTCTTTTGCCACTTTATTCTACAAAATGAAGGACAGGCATGAAATCTGTTTGTGACTCTCCACGGAGCTGAGAACACATGCTGCATACACAGAACTGGAACATGGTTGCTCTGGTTCCCACTTGCACTCAAAGAGCTTGCAGCATTTACTGGTCTCCCCATCAGACGAAACTGAACCCCTTGCCTGCAGCATCCCCGCTGAGTTGGTGGCCAAGGCCGGTTACCTGCTATCAGAGGCTGGCTGCTGGACTGCCCAAAGTGGGCACCATGATGAAGGAAGGCACTGTAGCAAGGCGTGGACGCATCGTCTGAAAGGGCCATGTGGAAGGGCTGAAGATCAGCCTGCCCAGAGCCGACCGGCGTGGTGGGGGTGAAAGGGGTGAGAGAGGCTCCATGAGGCTCTTGCTTTATACTGAGGGGAGAGGAGAGGTTTTCTGTGGTAGGGTAAGGGATGGACACAGACAGACAAAGGGAACAGGGGGAGGAAGAGGAGGGTGGGGAAGGGAGGAGAGGAAGAACAAAATGGGTAAATGAAAATGGAGTGGTTAAAATCTACAGGGAAATTAATTTTAAAACAAAAATAAAAATAAAAAGGTTAGGAGTAGATCAGAGGAGCCAGTGCTGAGACAACAGCAGTAAATGCACCCGGGGGCTAGGCTCTGGCTGCCGGAA